GCTACTCAATTATAATTAATATAAATCTTGTTTTTTATTAGTATTTTATTTTTATATTTATATTATACTAAACTCTATACACTATTTTTATATTATACTAAATTAAAATTAATGTGAATTAATGTCAAATAATATAAATATCATTGTAGTATTTAAAATATGACACTTAAAAACTTGCATGTCGAAGTATGGTGAGAATAAGTTGGAGTTGCCGATATTCACAATTAAAAGTCGAAGTGTTAAGGGTTAACTTCGTCAGCTGCTCACATCTTATTTTTAAATATGGGCATATAATAGTTAGCAGCTAACAAATTTTCCCTACTAGTGAATGCAATGCGAAGGGCGAGGAGAGAAAGAAACTGCACCGCCATCGGTTGAGCCACGGTATGGACAGACCGGATCTGCAGTTACCCACATAAGTTATTTACGGTATTCGAAATTAGATCCCGCGAAGTTTGCTTGAGTAATTCTGTCTGGAACGGAAGCACCGCGTGTCCTGTTTTTACCGCCGCATTTTCTACAGAATTTCTGCAAGCCAAGGTTCTCAACCTTTAAGCTATAACTGTAACTGTTGCAAAACTATAACTGTAAATTTGTTTACGCAAACAAAAACATAATTTTCGCCTAGTCTATTAACACATGAACGTATCTGAAGAACGTGGCGAAAATTTTCTACCATCACGGTTTTTATATTTGGAAGCTCGGAGCATACGCGACGTTAGCCGGATGACTGGCTAAGTTCATACGCAATGATACGACCTTTACAATGACGATTTCATTCGTAAGAATGAATTCTTAATTTTTGTTTAATCGCTCCGCGGTGCACAAGATCCTGCACGGGAACGGGATCAATCCGTATCATTACATACGGGTGCACAACCTGTTATCGTACGACTACGCCCAACGGGTTGAGTGTTCCACGTGGCTGCTGGAGAAGAGCGAACGGTAAGCCGACATTTTCCGTTGTCCATAGTTTTTTCGATCCTAATACTTAAACCCTCCACTTCCTCATTGCCGAAAACACATTTTCTAACTCAAAGGATTTGTAATGATTTATTACCAGCCAACCGACTGCGTAAGGATAGAAAGTTCTCTAAATACCATTATTTTTAAGGCGTTTCACATTGTCATCCACGCCAACCAACCACTGCCAATCATAGAAAACTTCGTTGTTTCTACTCCTACACCTTCGCACAGACAACCAACCAGCATCACCCTTTCCCTTAAATTCCCTTCGTCGTCATCTTGTTTCTACATCCTCTGCCAATTGGTGGAAAACTGTCCTCGTACGAGGAGTCATCAGTATTATTGGACACCTGAAGAGAAATTGGCATAACTTTAGGCATCCGCAACGGCCGCTGCGGCAAACGATCAGTATTCGTCTCCGACGAAGAACCTGCACCAACTTTGCCATGGTCATTTATTTCCAATGACTCAGATTTTACGCGTCCGCGTTGCTCTTGCGAGTGCGAACCCGCCGACACTTTCAGCTGGTGGCTATTACATACACCATTCATGTCTTTCTTCTTCTTCTCACCGGCGGTCAACCATTCCATGCGGGCAGCCAATTCGTCGACATTCGTACCGGTGGCCTCATCCTTTTCTTGAGATGCCGGGTAATTGACACCTTCAATCATCTCGATATTCAAATGCTTGCAACAATAGTTGCACATGGTGTATCCCCATCGCGTGACTATTGATTTACTGCAATATTGAGCGGTGTTATCTAGGAATTTATGAAAATCACATTCTGAGCCGGACGTATAAGCGAAGATGTCTTTTTCGAACTCTAGTGTGGCGACGGCGATCGGAATAGGATCTTCGCCTTCTGTGTGTTTCAAAGCTGCGTTTAATACTTCATTGAACAGTACTTCTGTTGAATAAACTTTAAAGTCTTCGATTTGTCTCTCAGCAGCGTCGCACATCCTGTGGAGTTCGCTGCGGTATCTGATAGATTAAACAGACCAACATCTCTTTAACGAACCAGATACCGCAGCGAACTCCACAGGATGTGCGACGCTGCTGAGAGACAAATCGAAGACTTTAAAGTTTATTCAACAGAAGTACTGTTCAATGAAGTATTAAACGCAGCTTTGAAACACACAGAAGGCGAAGATCCTATTCCGATCGCCGTCGCCACACTAGAGTTCGAAAAAGACATCTTCGCTTATACGTCCGGCTCAGAATGTGATTTTCATAAATTCCTAGATAACACCACCCAGTATTGCAGTAAATCAATAGTCACACGATGGGGATACACCATGTGCAACTATTGTTGCAAGCATTTGAATATCGAGATGATCAAAAGTATCCATTAATCGGTATCTCAAGAAAAAGATGAGGTCAGCGGTACGAATATTGACGAATTGGCTGCCCGCATGGAATGGTTGACCGCCGGTGAAAAGAAGAAGAAAAACATGAATGGTGTATGTAACAGCCACCAGATGAAAGTTTCGGCGGGTTCGTATACGCAAGAGCAACGCAGACGCGTAAAATCTAAGCCACTGGCAATAATTGATCATGATATTGACCTGTGTTATCTAGGAATTTATGAAATTCACATTCAGAGGCGGGACGTAAAAGCGAAAATGTCTTTTTAGAACTCGAGTGTGGCGACGGCGATCGGAATAGGATCTTCGCCTTTAGTGTGTTTCAAAGCTGCGTTTAATACTTCATTGAACAGTACTTCAATTGAATAAACTTTAAAGTTTTCGATTTGTTTTTCAGTAGCGTCGTACATCCTAAGTATCAATGAGTTCCCAACAAAGGAACGCTAACCGAGTGCTGAAATAGACATTAGTGAGGTTTCGTTGAATGAAGTGGTCATCTTGCCATTTTTCCTGTTTTGCCTTTTACACTTGTACAAGTGATCGCCTGCAGAGTCCTGCAGTGTGTTAAAGTAATGTTGAACTTGGCCTTGCAGATGGGCTCGTCCGAACATGGAAAAACTAATCGAGCATTTATGGAATCGGAATGAGTCGCTGCGACTAATCGGTTACTTCGGCTCTTTGTATTATCCTGCTCTTATAAAATCATCTCATGTTGTTCAAAACTCCATTGTATTTGATTTTAAGTGTGTACTGATGGTCTTTTTCAAACACCGGCTTTACTGCGATGTTCAGGATCTGAAATAATCCGTACTACCTTTTATAATCGTTTACCACGAATGCTACCAAATAAGTACACGTCATTGTAATTTCTGTGAATGAAGTGATCTTCATGGCATTTTTTGCTTGTTTTGTTCTATGTCCGTATTGAAGATAGCCTGTTGTATCGTATACGTTAAAGAGATTGGCATCTTCGATGAAAGTACACGATGAGGGAATTATCATTTGAAATTGTATTTTATTTCTTTGTTTTATTTGAGCCTTGGAAACCTGACTTGAAAAAATAGAGGATGATATCCATTTAGTGGGTGTTGTCTTCTGAAAAGTACTTAGAAAATTTCTTTTAATTTATCAGTAAATAATTGTTCATCTCAAGTGATCATCAAGGTTTTAGAACTTGTCTATTTGTTTCTATTATATCAATTATTGTATTAAGCTTATTAATCACTAGATGAAACACTGTATCACTTATTATATGTGTAAATTATTTGATCAACCATTGTATGAAGCATTGCATCAAATGTCCTCCAAAAATGATTATATGAAATACCGTATTCATTTTTATTATAATATTCATAGCCTGCAGTGTATTACGCAAATGAAGAAATGTTCGAAAGGAAAGCGGAGGAAGTGGGATAAGTGGGTGAAAACCGATGGATGAGCTTTAGTTCCAGGTGCCTATAACGAAGAGAAACGAGATTGCAAGCGTCGATCATCCGTGCTAGGCAGTAGAAAAGTTCTGAACTAGCCGTAAAACTCAATTCGACCGTTATAAGGAATTGAGTAAACTTGTGCCGACGCACGGCGGACAGGCGTCGGGCTATTAATAAAAAATGAAGAAACTGTCGGGCGGAAGGGATTCAGCGAAAAGTTTCACCCTATGGAGCAGAAGTTAACCACGGTCAACGTTGGTCACTTATCTTCGAAATTATTGGAAAACCGCAGGGAAGTTCGATGTGGCGTGTCGCTTGGGAAATGTCTGAAAATGAATGAAGGTTGCTGGTTTTTGAGTGAAATTCACTCAAAATAGGTCAGCCAGTTTGATTCTTTTTGCGATGTTCAAGTATCTAGTTAGTGATTTATGAAATGGAATTGACATGTTCGACTGAACTTGAAGCTAGAATAAAATGTCGATTATCTGATCTAATTGGGAGACAAACTTTCGGATAATCAATCTGAGAAGATTAACCCTTTCGCTTCTGCTGTCATTGCAATTGATTGGGAAAAATATGATTCAATTTATAATGAACTGTGATGTATTGCATACTTGTATTTTTCAATGTTTTAACGATGCTGTACAAAACAACACATCTTTTATCTGAGTGAAAAGTTTTTTTTTATCATGATTTGTATATTCTACAACCGATTTTTAATAGTGAAGAATAATTCAGGTATGAAAAGATTAAAGTAGAGCGACCTAAAAGTTCGTTCGTTTTGAGTCCCTTGATTTTGTAACCCTTTTTTGTGCCAAATAATAATTTATATCAAATGAACACGATTGACTAAGAGATGTTCGACACTCGTAAATTCATATCATGAAACATTCGATTGAATTAAAATAAGAAAAACATACGTGTTAGAAAATGCAAACATCGTGAAATACGTAACTTAGATACGTAGCGCTTACGTGTACAAGTAATGTATTGTACATTTATTCTCTATTTGAAAAGCAGGATACTGGAATAAACAGCATTTCGGACAACAGACGTCCGTATAATCAACATACTATTGTACGTTATTTTATTTTAAGTATTTACATAGGAACTTGCATAAAAGCGCGGTAGTTCTAAAACATGATGCTGTTTGCTGATGTCATTAGTGGACTGTGGATGTTTATGTGTAAACATTAATTATACATGAGCGTAAATGGAAGGTAAACGAGTTTAGGTAGCGTAATTACCCGTGGGATAGAAAATCTGATCGTGTAAGCAACTTTGCACGCTGAAAACAGCGCTGCAATGTAGTAACTTTCTGCACATTCTTATTAAGTTCACCGAAGCTCTGTAGAACAGCGGGTTTTGAAACAATCTCGTACAACATTTCTGCAGCGCACACATGTTTTTTTGCATACGAACACACGCCGAAGCCGTATACTTCTCATTATATCAACGTCACTGAACATTGAAATGCTTTACAATGCTTCGTCATCATTTCACAAGCTAGTTAACAAAAGTTTAATGACACATTTATCAGTGTAATTTAAGATAATTCCTTAGAGAGCAACATTTAACTCTTACCGCTCCAAGTGTGCCTCTCAAGCACCTCCCAAGCTACTCAATTATAATTAATATAAATCTTGTTTTTTATTAGTATTTTATTTTTATATTTATATTATACTAAACTCTATACACTATTTTTATATTATACTAAATTAAAATTAATGTGAATTAATGTCAAATAATATAAATATCATTGTAGTATTTAAAATATGACACTTAAAAACTTGCATGTCGAAGTATGGTGAGAATAAGTTGGAGTTGCCGATATTCACAATTAAAAGTCGAAGTGTTAAGGGTTAACTTCGTCAGCTGCTCACATCTTATTTTTAAATATGGGCATATAATAGTTAGCAGCTAACAAATTTTCCCTACTAGTGAATGCAATGCGAAGGGCGAGGAGAGAAAGAAACTGCACCGCCATCGGTTGAGCCACGGTATGGACAGACCGGATCTGCAGTTACCCACATAAGTTATTTACGGTATTCGAAATTAGATCCCGCGAAGTTTGCTTGAGTAATTCTGTCTGGAACGGAAGCACCGCGTGTCCTGTTTTTACCGCCGCATTTTCTACAGAATTTCTGCAAGCCAAGGTTCTCAACCTTTAAGCTATAACTGTAACTGTTGCAAAACTATAACTGTAAATTTGTTTACGCAAACAAAAACATAATTTTCGCCTAGTCTATTAACACATGAACGTATCTGAAGAACGTGGCGAAAATTTTCTACCATCACGGTTTTTATATTTGGAAGCTCGGAGCATACGCGACGTTAGCCGGATGACTGGCTAAGTTCATACGCAATGATACGACCTTTACAATGACGATTTCATTCGTAAGAATGAATTCTTAATTTTTGTTTAATCGCTCCGCGGTGCACAAGATCCTGCACGGGAACGGGATCAATCCGTATCATTACATACGGGTGCACAACCTGTTATCGTACGACTACGCCCAACGGGTTGAGTGTTCCACGTGGCTGCTGGAGAAGAGCGAACGGTAAGCCGACATTTTCCGTTGTCCATAGTTTTTTCGATCCTAATACTTAAACCCTCCACTTCCTCATTGCCGAAAACACATTTTCTAACTCAAAGGATTTGTAATGATTTATTACCAGCCAACCGACTGCGTAAGGATAGAAAGTTCTCTAAATACCATTATTTTTAAGGCGTTTCACATTGTCATCCACGCCAACCAACCACTGCCAATCATAGAAAACTTCGTTGTTTCTACTCCTACACCTTCGCACAGACAACCAACCAGCATCACCCTTTCCCTTAAATTCCCTTCGTCGTCATCTTGTTTCTACATCCTCTGCCAATTGGTGGAAAACTGTCCTCGTACGAGGAGTCATCAGTATTATTGGACACCTGAAGAGAAATTGGCATAACTTTAGGCATCCGCAACGGCCGCTGCGGCAAACGATCAGTATTCGTCTCCGACGAAGAACCTGCACCAACTTTGCCATGGTCATTTATTTCCAATGACTCAGATTTTACGCGTCCGCGTTGCTCTTGCGAGTGCGAACCCGCCGACACTTTCAGCTGGTGGCTATTACATACACCATTCATGTCTTTCTTCTTCTTCTCACCGGCGGTCAACC